TATTCATCCCACAGAATGATTCCTAACTCAAATCGAACATGCTATTAACCTTAACCATACACTGTTCCCTCAATCTAACTTTACAGAAGAGCAGGATCAGAGTTGGTCTTACAAAAGAGGAATGTAGGGGATCTTCCACCTGCTGAGAACCTCAAAGGTCCATGCAGAAATGATCCCTGGAGAAGATGTAGGCAGCTATGAAGGACCTGAGAGAGCAAAAGTCATCTTCCATGGCAAACAACCTGGTCAGGATGAAGGGTTGTGTCTGAATCAGCCTCTCTCTTCTTAATGTAGAGAAGACGGATGAAACCAGGCCTGTGTGGAGAGCTGTTCCCGGGTGCCTATGGTTGATATACCATTCTAACTTGTGAAAGTGTCACAGGAAGTAGGGGCAGCCTCCATCTATTGGGACTCTTGAATGGAACTGTTAGGACAAAGTGGTTGCCAAGGCAGTGACCTCATTCTGTACCTGAATGAAGTGACCTACCTCACTTTCTTGGTGATGGAACTATCTGAACTTGGGATCCAGGAAGCCAGGCACCCAGAGCCAGTCCCAGTCCCAGTACCAGTGGGCTCAGTTTTTTGGAATAACCAAGGACAGTGTCAGGCTTCCTTGGTACCTACTTATGTGAGGATTGCCAAATGCCAGCAGTGCTCTGAAGAGTGGACTTTTTCAGAAAGCAGGTAGTGGTTCACCGCTTTCTCCAGACAACTTTTCAGAGTTGGCCAAGGAGACCAGATGTGAGACAGGACAAGGCATTTCGGGAAAACATAGTAGGGCCCACCAGACATAGGACACTCCTGATAGTCACAGAACTATTTGTGGGAACGAGGTGCCTTTGTGGGTGTGGGTGTGAGTTAGTGGTTTTGTCTCATGTTCTGAGAATAGGTAGGAAAGGCAGTTTGTTTGGTTTGGAGTGGACTATGTCTGGTAAGTCCTTTGACAAGCCGAGTGTTTCTATGTCTGTGCATCTCTATGTGACCTTGGTTGTAGACATTAGAAAAGAGAATGCATCAATGAATATGTCCTGTCTAGTAGAAATCTTCCCAGAATTCATCCTGCCCAATTTATGAATGGACTTCGGCTTGCCTTATGGATGGGCAACACCTACTATCTTCCTAAGTTCCTGTTTTCTTCCTGAATTCTGGCCACTCTCCAGAATAGGCTCATGGTTTTGTGTCCAAGATATGTACCACCTCCAAGCTCTGTGACATGGCCATGTACTGGATAGCTGAAGGGAATTGGAGCATCTCAGAAAACTCAGATATCAGTGTGACCAGGAAAGTCTCAGTGGAGAAACCCTGCTTTGGGCCTTTTGCTTACCTATTGTTCTGTTGCCCTGAATGTCAGGAAGGTCTTTGCCTCTGGCCACCCCTTTGTGAAGCCTGAAGAAAACAGTTTTCAAATGGAAATGATTGAGCATCACCTGTGGCTCTTTGCTTAATTGCTTTGGAAAGGGATGGGTCTGAATCAGCCTCTTGGCCCTGTGTGAGGCTGTGGCTTAGATTCTCAGCACCTGATGGATCTAAAGAAAGATCCCATGTTTGCATCCAAAACCAAAATGGCAAAAAGTGCAGTAATTGTGGATGAAGTCTCTCACCTTCCTCTGTAAGGTTCCTGACCTCCATCAAGTGAGAATAGGGATCCTTTGGGTCAAATGAGCTCTTCAAATCCATGCAGAGGCTAGCCCATAGGTGCTTGGGTTTTCTCATGACTCCAAATCACATATAGAATCTATACATGACAGTGAGTAGGCCTCAAATTGGAGAAGCACAGAAGTATTTATGGCAGGCCTATTTGATCACTCCTGTTTCACAGGAAGTGTTTTCAGGCCACCCAGACTTTAGGCAAATGAGGGGCAAGGGAGCCTATTTTGGACACTGTCTTGTGCTGCACCCCTCATGGAAACATACAGCTAGAGGTTATGATGAGTGTCTATATGGAAGAAGATGAGGGTCATGTGGGAGTGTTTTGGTTTTAATTGTGGTCATTTGTGTGGCGATTGGAAGAGATGACTGGGTGCATCTGGGCTTGAACTCTGGTGTGATTCCCCTTAGAGACTATGTTCTGGAACTGACCTCAGAGAAGTATTGCCATGAATTGTGTTATGATTTTAGGAGGCCACGCATGAGAGTCGCCCTTGGAAACTGAGATCTAGGCCCAGGGTGGCTTTCCACAGAGCACTGGGAATCTCAGCCAGGATATCACATGATTTTATTCTGAAAGACTTGGCAGCCATAGTTGAGAGTCAAAACACACATGGACCTCACATTGTAGACCTCAATGGGCCTGGCTTCATGTGACCTTTTGGCCACTCTTTGGGAAACCTTGCCTGTGAGAGTTCTCCAGAGCTTTCATTGAAATGAGCTTCCTCACCATTTAATGGTTCCTGAATGAATTGAAACCCACAGTGCCTCCAACTTCATCCTTGAAAAATGGCTAGATAAATACCATGAAATTTTTGAAATTCCCATGACCAGGTGGCACTGGAGAACCTTTGGATGTCCTTGTTGCTGATCAAGAGTGTACCAGACAGTTCCTTGATTGACTGGGTTTCATGAAAATGGTGTAGAACAGAGATGCCATTAAGTTAGAGCCTGCAGAGTAGTGGGCCTAGAGAAGTGGTGTGCAGTTGTGTGATAATACATCTGTGTTGTGGCCATGTGGATCTGCCATTGGCTTCCAAATTGCTTGTGACTGACATGGTGCAGCCAGAAGACCCATATATGTAAAAGCATGTTTTTATATGGAGAGGTTTCAGGGCCATGTTCAGAATCAAGTTGCTATGGACAAGGGGGCAAGCTATGTGGGAAAGAAGCCTGGTTGGTGCATTCTCCTGCAGACCCTGACCCACCGCAAGTGACAGAACTCCGTCCAGCACTGTGTCCCTATTGAACTTCTTGTATTTTGTGAAGCAAATACCAAACTCCCAGTGCAGCAGCAAGAAACACCACGAAAAGTGGAGGATGACCAAATGGCTCCACAGTCCACACGGGGAGACACTTAGACCCCAGTGGCCACTGTTTACCTACAAAGAGTGAATTCAGCACTGCTGCCTCATGTTCACTGGAAAATAAGAAACCATATCCTCCAGGTCACATAGATGCAGACCCAGCTTTGATGGTCTCACTACAAAGGAAGCTAAAGCTCCTGAAAATAACATATATTTCAAGTGCCCAACCTCAGAGGCAGTTTCTCAAGATGTCTTTAGGCCAGCAGACCTCCATGTTTGTGGAGTGTTTACCATGTCCCTTACTTTTGGAAACTCCTCTACCACCTCCAAGGTTGTGAACTCCTGAGCATTTTCCATCCCAGATATGTATTCACAGATTTTCTAACTCTTCTCTTCTAATTGTGACTTACTTCAGGCGAAGGTAATGTCCAGGCTTTGTTCCTAATGAGAGTGGGAAGATTTTTTTGAAGCACATATTTGCATACACATTGGATTCATTATCCTATTTTCCATTTGAAATACTGAATCCCTGACACTAACACATAACCTACTAGACTCTGACTACTAATCCTAATATGATGGAGAAAAATAACCGAAACAGAATAGAAATACAAGCTGTTCAGAGGAGGCATGTTGTATAGTTGGATTTGCCTTTGGCATAAAAAAGGGTAGGTGTTATAAATCTAGTCAATTTTTTGTTGAAATAGTTCTCCATGTGTTTTTAAACTTAACAAATATGTGAATTCCTGTCTCCCTCTCTCTGTAGCCTATTCAGCACATGTATTTTTATATGCACATATAGAATACTACCTGGTATCACACGTACATTTTTTGAGGTGGCTGAATTGGCAGATACAAATTGTGAGAAGAGATCAGTCCTCCTAAATGCTGTTGGAACTGAAAATTCAATGTATGGGTAAGTTTCCTGGTTAAACCACATTATACATAAATCTATCTTCAGTAAAATGGATATTTTTGGATCTGTGGATTATGTATATTTCATGGTGAATTTCGATTTGCATATATATTGCTATTTTTAATGTCTCAGTGTGTGTGTGTGTGTGTGTGTGTGTATATATATATATATATATATATATATATATATATATATACTCTCCAGATTTTTCAAAATATGAAATGTATGAGTCTTATTATACACTCCCTAAATTCATTCATATTCATGTATGTGGATTTGTAATCAACTTTTCACAAGATTATTCTCAGAAATATTCATCCACCTGAAATTCATATTTGTTTCCTAGTACTGAAAACTAACTTCGGTGAATGGTGCATACAAATCCTAATATTTCTACAGTAACTGACCCAGTTTAACATCAATTCAAGTAGATTCCTATGGGACATGATGTGTATTTTAACATTCATTTTTATTCAACTCTGGTACATTACTATTTCTTCAATTTATGCACATCATAGGACATATATTTCATCCACAAGTTAGCAAATATATAGGCATTTGTTTCACTTTCAATCACTTCCTGCTTCAGAACACATGTATACCTCCAGGTTTCTTGACTGGTCTTTTCATGAGACTTCTTTCCAAACACATTATTTTCAATTTTCATAATCACTTTTGAAGCAAAACTCACACACTCTTCATGATAATCCATAACCCTAATATTACAATTAGATGTATAACTGTTAGGATTAAATGTATTATATCAATATAAGATTTCCTGTATATTTTCAGATATCAATTCAATCCATTATTTAAAGTTGGAACTAGTTATATTATTTATTCACAGTATGGTCTATTCATGCATTATCTCTATATTCATAGACACATGGTACACCTATTTCTATCCCCAATACGAATTCATACATCTTCAATATATTGCTCCCAGGAATGGTGGAAGATATACTCCTGTCACCTGATCTACATATGCATTTTATTACAGTAATATTCTGGACACACAAAGCAAAGTTCACACTTATGATTGTACCAATGTAAAGGTCGGGCGAGCGTCGGAGGAAGAGACCACGAAGAGACTATCTCATGCAACAGCAAAGTGTTTATTGGGGGTCCAGGGTAATTTATTGATTGGTCAGGTCGAGTGAGTGGTTTGCATCCCAATGGGAGAGGGAGTACATTCAGCAGTTTTGCAGTTGGGGACAGCACATAATGGGAACAAGATTAGCACACCGTTTTCAAGATTTCAACAGTGTTTTGTTAAGCATACAGAAAAACAGGAAGTGACAAGTACCTATTTTATTAACATTTCATTCCCCACTTCTTATTCTGGTTACTTTTAATCATAAAAGTGATCATTGGGGGGTCTCACATTTTATGTCTGCTAGTGAGGTATATTGTTGTCTGATTACCATAAGTTTAACTTATTCAATTTGAGCTTGTAGAAAGGAAACTACACGGTTGAGCAAACAGGATCCGACAATTAGCAATAATATGAGGATTATTAATGGACTGGCCAGGGCTGATAAAAGCGTAGTTAACCAGGGGGACTGTGTGAACAAAGACTCAAACCACCCTTTTTGTGCCTCTCTCTCTTGTTGACGCTCTTCAAGGCATCTTCTTAATTTACTCATAGATTTTTTTTACAACTCCAGTATTGTCGGCATAAAAACAACATTCTTCCCTCAATGCAGCACAAAGGCCTCCTTCTCTCATGAAGAGGAGGTCCAACCCTCGCCTGTTCTGTAAAACAAATTCAGAGAGAGAGGTTAAAGATTCCTATAAAGCTGTGATGGAGGTTTTGAACATCTTTAAGTTTTGGTCTATTGCTGCTTCTAATTGGGTCATTTGTTGTGTCCCATGGACTAGGGCAGTGGTTCCTGTGCCCATCCCTGCAGCAACTCCTTTTCCTAATAGGATGGCTAAAGTGAGGGATACAGGTTCCCAGCTTAACCGGGTTGTATGCCCCCCTATTTGATATTTAAATTAACCTGCATCATGATAGAGCACTCTGGGAAACATCTGCAACATTACATAATTAATCACATCTGTTGACCATTTTATGAAAACATAAACAATGTTTAAGTATATAGAATTATACTGTTGTAGGGACGGACAAGGCAAGGTACCTAAGATAGCACCGAAGACAGGGAAACAGACCTATTTGGTTGCAACCAGATTTAGAGGGCATTGCTTCTGTTGTAATCAATTAATCACCTGAACCCCAAGTTTAGGTAGTTTCAGAATTTTGTACCCAACATGTAATGGAAGGGGCTCAGAAGTTCACAGTCTGCAGAAGTTCACAAAAAGAAGTTTTCATTTCTGTTTATTTTTTCCTCTGTTCTGGGCAAGTTAACATTTTAAGGACACCTGGAGGGGGAGAGTTTTTTTCTTCTCTTTTTTTTTTCTCCCTGCCAGCTGTAACCAAGGAGCCCAGTTGGTAACTTCTTTATCTTAGAATTGTAGCCATCTCTGTGAAGCCCCAGCTCAAGGCCAGAGGCCTTGTTCACATGCTGTATGAAAAACTAGTAAGGGATTGTCTAGCTTAGGAGTGCTGATTTTTCCAGCCAGTGGCCAAGTAGAACAGGGCAACACGAAAAGGGGAAGTTTATCTCCATTGAACTCTTTTATAGGGACTCTTTGGCTGAAAGTCCTAAAGTCAGCCATGGTGAAGACTTCTGGAGAAGGTCAGTTAAGACTTTTCGTGGGCCTGGTACAGAGGGGAAGACGGGGAAGGCGGGTCTGAGAGCAGCTCCGTGGGTCTGAGAATGAGGAAGGAGAGATATAAAAGAATAATGGGAAAGGCGTTTGCGATTTTCCAGGCAACAAAAAGTTGAGCAGTAGAATGGGTAGAGCAGAGGGGAAGAAGGGAGTGAGTATCCCAAAAAACCTGTGAGGGACTTTTAATTCTTAGGAATCTGTTTTCAGTGATGACAAAGCAACTTTAAAGGCCATTTTCATTACATCTTGGATAGGGGTCTGAGGGCTCTCCTTAGCTGGTTTGAGCTTTGGGTTAGCTGGTAAGAGGACCTGGTGGGACTGGTGCGGGCACTGACAGGAGAAGAGAGGAGTGAGTGGGTAGATGGGTACCTCAGTACCTGCTACCTCAGCAAGGGGGCAATGGTCTGAGAACTGGTGGAGGTTTGGGTTTTTGATCTAGTAATTGGAGGGGCAAAATCAGGTTGCTGAGGTGGGACTGACAGCAGAGAGTCTGGAGCAGAAAGCTGAGTGTGAGGATCTATTGGAGAAGCATAGTTCAGGATGTGAGCGAAGGAGGGAAAAGGCCTCTACATAGGGGAATTTCCTTCCACCCTTTTGAGCACTTGCCGAAGTTAAAAAGGTCACGCAGAATTTGAGGATCTAGAGACCCCTCTGGGGGCCATCGGTTTTGGTTATCTAATTGGTAATATGGCAAATGCTATGTACTGAATTTGATGAGGAGTTTGGGTTCCACCAGGCAGCCCCTGTATGCTCACATCCCCATGACTTACAGAAGAAGTCAGCTTTTCCCCCACACAGCAGTGGCTGTTTGTGGCTTTGATAGTCCGCTGGGCAAACATCAGAATCTTGACTAGCCAACCTGCATCTGGCTCACATGTCCCTACATCCATAATGTTTGTTTCCTATACCTATGGTACGGAAGGGATTTAATGGAATTTTAGTGGGATCCCCTTCATCAGGAATATCCCAATAGGAAAGACTTATAGCCATCTGACAAATGTCTGGGTGGAGAGATGGCCACCAGGTCCCTAAGGGGGCTGTATGCAAGATAGACCATACTTCTTGTACAGTAGGATTTGTGATCAGCCATCGATGCTGAACAGGCTGATGAGGTTTAGGACTACCATTGGCAAAGGGGAGAGTCTATAACCTTATCCACATGGCGAATACACAATTTGAAAGGGTTACCATTCTTTTCCAGTTTCCAGCCAGAGTCTGGACGGGGCGCAGGGTTGAGATGAGAGGCATGGATCCAGGAAGTGATTCCGTCTACCTTTACCACTGTAGGTGTTATAAGTAGCACCTGGTATGGTCCTTTCCAGCGGGGTTCCAGGGTTGACACCTGATGACGTCTTATGTAGACGAAGTCTCTTACTTGATATCGATATGGAGTCCCCTCATCTCCAGGTTGGTAGGCAGTGGCCAGCTGTTTCCATAGGTATCGCTGAGTTCTTTCAAGAGCTTTAAGTCTGTCAAGAAAGGGGGTGTGGAAGGGATCATTAGGTCTTAGAGTTGGGGTTAGGTCCCTTACTGGAGGAGGGACCATAGAGAATTTCATAGCAGGTGAGGTTACACAATGAAACAGAGGGAGTATGAGTATTTCTTGCATGAAATAGTGCATAAGGCAGGAGCATAGTCCAATCTTTTATGCGGATCCCTAAGCTTAATTTCGTTAAGGTCTCTTTAATGGTTCTATTTATTTTTTTACCTGTCCTGAGCTCTGGGGTCTATAAGCACAATGTAACTTCCAATTAATCTCCAGGGTCCTGGCTAACCCCTGACTTACCAGGGCCATGAACTCCGGTCCATTATCAGACCCTATTACCTTAGGCAGTCCGTATCTTGAAAAAATATCTTTCAGGATCTTCTTGACCACCATTTGTGCCTTTGTTGTTGTTGTTGTTTTTTTTTTTTTTTTTTTTTTTTTTTTTTTTTGTGTGTGTGTGTGTGAGGAAGGCTTCAATCCATCCTGAAAATGTATCTACAAAGACTAGGAGATATTTAAGTCCATACCTTGCTGGCTTAATTTCAGTAAAGTTCACTTCCAAGAATTGTCCTGGTCTGGTTTCTTGTAGGTGCTTTCCTGCAGGAAACTTGGAAGGGTAAGCATTAACCAATTGACAGACCCAACAGGCTTTTGTTACCCATTCAGTTATTTCCTTTCGCTCTGAGTCGGTTAGTGGAAAACTCTGTTCTTGATCCTTCAGGAATGCCTGAAGTTTCTTTGAACCAAGGTGAGTGAGTTGATGTACATTTTTAACGTAGTTTAGGGCTTTCTGAAAATGCAGGCTGGGCTCAGTGAAGTTGAGGATTTCAGTGTCAGTGTCCTTAGATGTTATCAAAAGCTTGCTGGTGCTCAGGGGTCCATTGGAATTGGGCATCTCCCTTTAACACCGGGTATAAAGGAGCAGCTAAGGACGCAAACCCAGGTATCCATAACCTGCAAAAGCGAGCAGTCCCAAGAAACTCTCTGAGTTGTCTGCTGTTAGATGGGGGTGGTATCTGCTCAACGGTTTGTTTTCTGGGCTCAGTGAGCCATCGTTTACTGCCCCTAAGGGAATAGCCCAGGAAGATTACTTCTTGCTGGCAAATTTGGGCCTTTTTGGCAGAAGCTCTATACCCGAGTTGAGCAAGCTCAGATAATAGTGCTTGGGTCCCAGACTCACAGTTTTCCTTGGTGTTGGCTGCCAGTAGCAGGTCATCCACATATTGAAGCAGGGTGACTTCAGGGTGTGTAGTTCTGAAGTTGTTGAGATATCTGGGGAGGGCTTCCTCGAAGATAGTGGGGGAGTTTTTGAACCCCTGTGGGAGTCTAGTCCAAGTTAGTTGACCAGACGTTCTGGTTTCTGGGTCTACCCACTCAAAAGCAAATAGCAACTGACTATCTTTATGCAGAGGCAACCAAAAGAAAGCATCTTTTAAGTCCAGAACAGTATACCATTTCTGCTCAGGGTTCAGAGTGCTAAGCAGATTGTACAGATTATGTACTGTGGGGTGAATGTCCTGCACTCTGTTGTGGATCTCTCTTAGGTCTTGAACGGAGCAATAGTCCCTGGTTTCTGGATTTTTTTACTGGTAGCTGGGGAGTGTTCCAGTTAGAATGACAGGGCCTTAGGACCCCTAAGGCCAGATATTTCTGAATATGGGGCCTTATCCCATCTTTAGCTTTTTTGCTCAGAGGATATTTTTTGACATTGATTGGGGGGCTGAAGTTTTTAACTCCACTGTTATTGGAGGTTGTTTCATGCCTAGTCCTAACCCAGCAGTTTTTTCCCAGGCATCTGCGTAATCTGTTATCCATTTCTGGGCTAGCTTGCCTGTTTGATCAGTCTTGGGGGGTGTGACGAGTTGATGTTCATCTTCTACTGACATAGTTAAAGCCGTGACTATAGGAGTTTTTATTGAAGGATTTAGAAATTTCACTTGGGGGCCTTCAGGGTTAAAAGTTATTCTGGCCTGGAGCTTGTTGAGCAGATCTCTGCCCATCAATGGGGCCGGGCATTCTGGGATTACTAGGAAGGAGTGATGGATTTTTCCTTTCCCCAGGTCCATGGTCCTCTTAGTTGTCTAAGCCCCATATTTACTGCCATTAGCCCCTTGAACTAGAGTCCTTTTATTTGATAGATGGCCCAATGGGGCCTTAAGGGCTGAGTATACTGCCCCTGTATCCACTTTAAAGTTTACTCCCCGCCAGCGAGTTCTTTGAGTTCTTTTGGCCTGGCCAGCTTCCTCCAGGGAAGGAGGGGCTGTGTGTGCCACGGGGTAGTCATCTGGAGGGAGCTGGGCTGGCCTAGATTCCTCCAATGGTGGAGAGTCTGAGTCAGCAGCAGGAGAATCACTTAGAGGGTGTGGGGTTTGGGGGATGAGGGCAGGGCATAAGGAGGGGGAGAAGAGTCCAGTAGAGTCTTGAGACTCAGGGAGAACAGAGGGTGGAGGAGGAGGAGCAGAGGGTTTGAGAGATAGAATCGTGGGGGAAGCAGTAGGAGCGGGGGCAGGGACAAGGAAAGGCTTCACCCATGGAGGAGGAGATTTGCAGAGGTCCTGCCAAGTTAAGATATATTGCTGTTGATCTGGATGGCTATGTGGCCCCGGCTGAAAGACAATATCTCTGAGTTTTCGAATTAGTGGGAAGTAGAAAGATCCTTCTGGGGGCCATCCGACTCCAAAGGTGGGTCATTCTGAGGCACAGATTGTCTGCCAGATCTGGCGTTTTACTGAAAAAGAAAGATTCTGAGCCCTTAAGCAGACTTTGGTCCAGTGATCAAGGTTCAGGGACAGAGGCATTGAAGTGCTCTGTCCCATATGAAAGATACACAAACAGTGAAAGCAATGGCACAGGACACAGACAAGACAAGACAAGACAATAAAGACAGGCAATGGACGTCCTATACTGAGACCAGGAATGAGTAGCCGGCAAAACCTGATGGGCTGGCAATACCGAATCTGAAACAAAATATCACTGAGTCGAGGAGACTATTGTTACTTGATATCCCGAGTCCTCTGGGGCGTCCCCCAGAGACGTGGCCTGTTGCTCTGTGACACGTCTGTCAGCCACCATTGGAGAGAGCTCACTCTCATCACCGATAGCCAATTTGCCCATCCCTAACCTGAAAGCTGAAACCAGAAAGAGGCGCCTTACTTACCCTGAGAGGAGCCCATTGGGGGTCTTTCGTCCACCGCTGCTGGATCTCGCTGGGGCCCTCAGATGTAAAGGTCGGGCGAGCGTTGGAGGAAGAGACCAACAAGAGAGTGTCTCATGCAACAGCAAAGGGTCCAGAATTCTGGGGCTCAGAGCTCACTTGAATAGAGCAGAGAGCCCTGAGAACAGCTTAAGCAGAGCTTATATACTTTCCTTGAAGAGGGCAGGGAGGGAAGTTTATTGATGGGTCAGGGCAACTGGGCGGTTTGCATGTAAACGGGTGAGGGAGTACATTCTGCAGTTTGGCAGTTGGGGAGAGCACATTCTGGGAACAAGATTAGCAAAAACTTTTCAAGATTTAAACAGTGTTTTGTTAAGCATACAGAAAAACAGAAAGTGACAAGTACCTATTTTATTTAATTTCACCAAAGCCTAAATGGAAAGTGAGCATGGATTACGAAAAACATTCATGTCCAGGTTGCCTAATGCTCTCAAATGTCAATTCTATTGGTGACTACATATTTGTTTCTTCCTAAGATTATATATTCAACCTTAACCCTGTTGAAAATGCCTAATCCTATGACACACTTAATATTTTGCCTGATTTCCTAATGTCTCTATTGATATCTGCTTTCCTACATGTTTTCCCCAGTTCATCATTGTGACTGACTCTTCACATGGACTGACATTAACATTCACTCTCTAACCGAAACCCTATTGGTAAAGAACTTTGGTCCAAATCCTATACTCACTCTTCTTTCTAAACTTACCGAATATCTTCCTAATCCTAACGACTATCCCTTTTTGACTGGAGGTTCTCTTCGACATTCAATAATCCAAGGTACAACGTGCTATGCCATTGTATATCGATTTATCTGAGACATCTGTGCAGAAAGTATTTCAATGCTAAGTATCCCAATCAAGGGCCCAATGCCCTTCTGGGCTTCAAATCTTACCTAGATTTCTGTTTTCATACTTATATCTCACGTCTATATTCTTAAAAATATCACAGATTCCCAATACAATTATTCATCCTGCAGAATGATTCCAAACCCAAATGGAACCTGTTATTAACCCTAACCACACAGTGTTCCCTCAATCTAACTTTAGAGAAGAGCAGGGACAGAGTTGGTCTTAAAATACAGGAATGTAGAGGATCTTCCACCTGCTGAGAACCTCAAAGTTCCATTCAGAAAAGATCCCTGAAGAAGATGTTGGCAGCTATGAAGGACCTGAGAGAGCAAAAGTCATCTTCCCTGGCAAAAAACCTGGTCAGGATGAAGGGATGTGTCTGAATCAGCCTCTCTCTTCTTAATGTAGAGAAGATGGACCAAACCAGGCCTTTGTGGAGAGCTGTTCCTTAGTGCCTATGATTGATATATCATTCTAACTTGTGAAAGTGTCACAGGAAGTAGGGGCAGCCTCCATCTCATGGAACACTTGGAAGCAACTGTTAGGACAAAGAGTTTGCCAAGGCAGTGACCTCATTCAGTTCCTGAAGGAAGTGACCTACCTCACTTCCTTGGTGATGGAACTCTCTAAACTTGGGATCCAGGAAGCCAGGCACCCAGAGCCAATCCCAGTCCCAGTCCCAGTGGGCTCACTTGTTTGGTGTTACTAAGGACAGAGTCAATCTTTCTTGGTACCTACTGATGTGAGGATGGCCAAATGTGAGGGGCCTTTCCTGAGAAAGCAGGTAGTGGCTCACCACAGGCTCCTGACAACTTCACAGAGTTGGCCAAGGAGACCAGATCTGAGAATGGATAGGCCATTTCGGGGGAACATAGTATGACCCACCAGTCAAAGGACACTCTGGATAGTTACAGACCTACTTGGGGGAAGGATGTGCCTTTGTGGGTGTGGGTGTGAGTTTGTGGTTTTGTCTCATGTTCTGAGAATAGGTAGGAGAGGTGGTTTGTTTGGTTTGGAGTGGACTTTTTCTAGTAAGTTGTTTGACAAGGCGAGTGTTTCTATGTCTGTGTATCCCACTGTGTCCGTGGTTGTAGACATTAGAAAAGAGAATGCATCAATGGATGTGTCCTGTCCAGTAGAAAGCATCCCAGCATTCATCCTGCCCAATTTATGAATGGACTGTGACTTGCCTTATGGATGGGCAACACCTACTATCTTACTACGTTTCTGTTTTCTTCCTGAATTCTGGCCACTCTCGAGAATAGGCTCATGATTTTGTGTCCAAGATATGTACCACCTCCAAGCTCTGTGACATGGCCATGTACATGATAACTGAAGGGAATGGGAGGATCTCAGAAAACTCAGATATCAATGTGACCAGTAAAGTCTCAGTGGAGAATCCTTGCTTTGGACCATTTGCTTACCTATTGTTCTGTTGCCCTGAATGTCAGGAAGGTCTTTGCCTCAGGCCACCCCTTTGTGTAGCCTGAATAAAACAGTTTTCAAATGGAAATGATTGGGCATCACCTGTGGCTCTTTGCTTAATTGCTTTGGAAAGGGATGTGTCTGAATCAGCCTCTTGGTCCTGTGTGAGGCTGTGGCTTAGATTCTCAGCACCTGATGGATCTAAAGAAAGATTCCATGTGTGCTACAAAACCAAAATGGTCAAAATAGCAGTCATTGTGGATGAAGTCTCTTGCCATCTTCTGTAAGGTTAATGACCTCCATCAAGTGAGAATATGGATCCTTTGGAACAAATGAGTTCTTCAAAGGCCTGCAGAGGCTAGACCATAGATGCTTGGGTTTTCTAATGACTCCAATTCACATAAAGAATCTATACCTGGCAGTCAGTAGGCCTCAAATTGGAGAAGTGGAGCAGTAATAAGGGCAGGCCTATTTGATCACTCCTGGTTCACAGGAAGGGTGTTTAGGCCACACTGACTTTAGGCAAAATAGGAGCAAGGGAGCACATTTTGGACACTGTCTTGGACTGCGCCCCTTATGGAAACCTCCAGCCAGAGGATTTCATGAGTGTCTATATGGAAGAAGATGAAGGCCATGTGGGAGTGTTTTGGTTTTAATTGTGGTCATTTGTGTGGTGGTTGGAAGACATGACTCTGTCCACCATGGCTTGAACTCTGGTGTGATTCCCCTTAGAGACTGAGTTCTGGAGCTGACCTCAGAGAAGAATTGGCATGAATTGTGTTGGGATTTTAGGAGGCCACGCATGAGAGTCCCCCTTGGAAACTGAGATCTAGGCCCAGGGTGGCTCTCCACTGAACACTGGGAATCTCAGCTAGGATATCACATGATTTTATTCTGAAAGACTTGGCAACCATAGTTGAGAGTCAAAACACACATGGACGTCGCATTGTAGACCTCAATGGGCCTGGATTCATGTGACCTTTTGGCCACTCTTTGGGAAGCCTTGCCTGTGAGAGTTCTCCAGAGCTTTCATTGAAATGAGCTTCCTCACCATTTAATGTTTCCTGAATGAATTGAAACACACAGTGTCTCCAACTTCATCCTTGAAAAATGGCTAGATAAATACCATGAAATTTTTGAAATTCTTATGACCAAGTGGCACTGGAGAACCTTTGGATGTCCTGTTGCTGATCATGAGTGTACCAGACAGTGCCTTGATTGACTGGGTTTCATGAAAATGGTGTAGAAGAAAGATTCCTGTATGTTGGAGCCTGCTGAGTAGTGACCCAGAGCTGTGGTGTGCAGGTGTGTGATAAAACATCTCTTTTGTGGTCATGTGGATCTTCCATTGACTTCCAAATGGCTTGTGGCTGACATGGTGCATCCAGTAATCCCTTATATGTCTGACCTCTCCATATAAAGGCATCTTGTTATATGAAGAGGTTTCAGGGCAATGTTCAGAATCAGGTTGCAATGGTCAAGGGGGCAAGCTATGTGGGATAGAAGCCTGGTTGGTGTATTCTCCTGCAGACCCTGACCCACCACACGTGTGAGAAATCCCTCCAGCACTGAGTCCCTGTTGATCTCCTTGTATTTTGTGAAGCAAATACTAAACTCCCAGTGCAGCAGCAAGAAACACCATGAAAAGTGGAAGATGAGCAAATGGCTTCAGAGTCCACATGGGGAGACACTTAGCCTTCAGTGGCCACAGTTTACCTACAAAGAGAGAATTCACCACTGCTGCCTCATGTTCATTGGAAAATAAGAAACCATGTCCTCCAGGTCACATAGATGTAGACCCAGCTTTGATGGTCTCACTACAAAGAACCTAAAGCTCCTGACAACAACATATATTTCAAGTGCCCAAGGTCAGGGGCAGTTTTCCAAGAAGTTTTAGGCCGGCAGAGCTCCATGTTTGTGGAGTGTTTACCTGTTAGACCAGGACACGAGAAAAGACCACTGACTCCAATTAAAATCAAATTTAATCAAGCTTATTATTTCCACTGGCCGGGATGCCTCTCCCTCTCAAATTGGCGGAAACAAGACAGCAACCCCACCTTTCCTACAGCCCAGCTTTATAGTCCAGAAAGTTACACAAAATGGGGGTTACAGATAACAGAACTCAGAGAAGCATCACACTAATGCTAGTTTACATTTTTTTTTTTTTGCTGGCCCCATCATCAGAATTTATGAGGACCATTAGAGCCTCAGCGAGTGTGGTTGTCTGGCCAGAGAAGGCCAATATTTATGAGGTGTCACTAAATTTTCAGAGACTGCTGCTATCTGGTCAGAGAGCCAGGCATGGGTGAGTTCAAGGCACGGGCAGGCATTCCAAGCAGGTTCAGAATTTGCAGTAATTTATAGTAAAGCCAAAATTATCTTTTCATGGTTTTGTGGCAAGATGGCTCCCAATTTTAATAAATGATCAGGTTGGGTCTATCATTCTCCCTTTTTTAATGTGTCCCTTCCAAATCTTTGATAGGGTAGGGGAAGAGCACTGAGGGAATTTTAATCCCTCAGGTAACAGTCTCCAAATTTTTAGAACTCACCTAAAACTGGATTCCTGATTTTACGTGACTTAATTAATTACTTATATTGATAGTCTATTTATTTTTGGCTCCATAGTTGTAAGACGAGAGGCGTCACTCTTTTTGGCTTCTTCTGAGCTGAGAGATGGTGACGTGAGTGGGCAGAGCGTAAGGGACATGAGTTGCCTTTTAGAAGTCAGTTGAGGGACATGAGTTGCCTTTTAGAAATCAGTTCGGTTTGAAGTCTGGTTGGGGAAGAACAGGTTGTAAAGTCATCTGGGGATGGGTTCTTCTATGTGAGAAACAAAAACCATGAGTACTGAAAAAAATGTTGCAGCAGTTGGAACCTGTCACTGTATAGAAGTTCCCTCAGCAGGCTTTAATATCCCCAGTTATCAGGACTGTCAACTTAATATTTAACATTTAGTGTTACACTTCTCCCTCCCCATAAGATACAGTTTAATAATTTAATGTCATCTGATCTTGCAAAATCCTTTTACTAGTATGACCTCTGTGTGTAATAGAGAAACCTTTAATTCTGTTACTCAGGGCTGGATAATTGTACTAGCAAACACCAAGCCTACCTGTGTAGGTTAGGAATATCTGTAGGCCTTAAACTAAAAACTTCTGCCTCTGGCAGCTCCTCTTGATAGTCTCTTTTTATAGTTATCAGGCATTCCTCTCTGAGAATCCTTCTTTGTAGCCTCCAGTCTTACTTATTTTGGGAAGCTAACATATACATTAAATTATGATTATGGTTATGATTATGATTATGATTATTATTATTTAAAATGCCCAGGAATGGCTGTATTTTGGTTTTAACTGTCTTTGCTAAGTGT